ATAGGAGACTCGGGCGGAGGCACGACCTGGCCGTCGAGGATCTGGGACATGAAGCCCTCCCCTTCGGTATTCAGACCAGGATTCAATAAAGTGAGCTGGCTAACTGCGACCTCAAAACCATCCGCCAAGGCGCCAACACAGTCCGTCTCGAGGAGTTGAATACGAGTGACCAATTCCGAGCGACTCCGCAAGGGGGCTGTCTCCTCCGACTCATCTTCGGAGGGGAGCATGGCGGCCTTCAGATCCTTGACTTCTTTGGCCAAGCTCCCATTGTCGGCCTCCAAGCGTTCCTGGTCCAGTCGAAAGTAGTCCCTCTCCTCGGCAACCTTCCCCGAGTTCTCCTTCTTCGCGGCCAGCAGCTCGGCTTGCTCGCGGAACATCTCCTCAGATCGCTCCAAAGCAGCCTTCAACTTTTGAGAGCCCGCAGCAAAGGTAGCTTTCTCCTGCTCTAGTTCTTTGACGCGGTTAGAGTCTGCCCCCTCCTCGGCGAGGACAACGGCCATCTCAGCCATCTTAACCATCCCGACCATGTTGGCGGCCAGATGCCTTCTCCGACTTTCTTTACTTAGCCGCCTGATGGTGTCAGCCTCCTCGGCACTTACAGTCAAGGGAAACCCCTCGAAGAAGCCTTCCTCTTTAAAGCAGGGGGGCAAGCCAAAGGACCTCACCGCGCCAGATTCATCGCTGACTTCCGGCTGGCTCTCCACCTGGTTTCTCTTCCTCGGTATCAGATCAATATGCTACTCGACGTCCTGGGAGTCCGGGGACCCGCCAGAAGCGTCACCTGAACTAGTTGGCGGGCCCATCCTCGTCGACTGTGGAGCCCGCACCATCCTTTTGTTGACTTTCTTATCTTGTGTCAACTTTAGAATCCTCTCCTTTCATCCGGCCATGTGACCTGTAAAAAAGAAAGCTCGGGTTAGTTACGAGCAAGTAACGAACGAAGAAACTAGAACAAAACTATAAGACAAAAAGTAACCTAGTAGGTTCATGGCCTGCCCGTAGGACTGGCACTCCACAAGCGCCTTTGTATCTATAGGACGGGCCTCGAAGGTCGGGTAACCATCATCGTCGAGAATGTCCTTTCCCTCCCTCATAGCCCACCGGGCAGGGAAGAAACTGTCGACATATCTGCAGAGGGTACCATAGGCTTCCTCGTCTTCGGTACTCATCCCTCCCGCATGCGTATGGTAATGCCCGGTACCATGCTCATAGTGGCGCGAGCTCCAATGCAAGGGAAACTTAGCTACGCGCCCCAACACCGGGCGACCCTCATCGTCCATAAGAGGCTCCCTGTTATCGTCTATCACGGCAGTCTCTTCTTCATATACAGAATCCAGAGCAGTCTGGGTGATCGGCCGCACCACATACCATTTGTCCTTGAAACCCCGGACAGAATCCATGTACATCCTGAACAGCCTCTTCGACTGTTTCAGGGAAACCCAACTGTTCCTACCTCCCCGAGACTGGCGTTGCAAATGAAAGACTCTGAAGAAGAGAGGGATGGTCGCCACAATCCTTAAAAAGTGACATGTCAGCTCGAACGCCCGAAGAAAGGCAATCGAGTTGGGGTGAAGCTGCGAGGGGGCCAACTCCAGATGACTGAATACCCCGACCTGGAAATCACTAAAGGGGAGCTTGAGACCAAGGTCCTTAAACGCGATTTCATACATAGGAAACCCATACTCAGAGAACTCTGAGCATATTCGCGCGTTAAGAGACGGTCTGGTGACCACAAAGTTTTTCTGGAAGCCCGACTGACTACCGTCGTGCTCGACGATAGTGTAGGCGCTCCGACTGTGCCGACTATATGCCGAGGCAATCCCTCTGGGCTCGGCCCCCACCCAATCCAGCAAAGGATCATCAACGGTATCAATCAGAGTTACATTTTCCTCGGCACTCTGGTCTTCGACCTCGTTGCGCCCCGAGGACTCCGGTTCATCAGCCATTTTACCTGCAAAGCACAGGAAACCGGTCAATTCGGGAGCAAATCCACACGCTCGCCATAACTGACGGGAAGAAGGGCACGATAAGCCAAGTCACACTCCACACACGCCAAAACGTTGAGGACTCGAACAAGAGTCTGGTTTCACCTCCCCGACGCCAAAGTGCCGCGACGAGTCGTCCTACATACTGCCTAAATGGGCCAACATCCCGGCCAGTCATGAGTACGTCGACCTAAACTATGGATATGACGAGCAATATCATGAATCTTAAACCTAGAACTATGGGTTTACCGGGAAATATCATAAGTTATGCGCCCAAAACCATGAAGATCCCGGGCAGCATCGTAAGTCACATACCTAAAGCTATGCGTTCACCGGGCACAAACATGCGTTTACCGAGCAAAAACATGAACATACCGGGCATGAACACGAATGTACCGGGCACTAATCCCAGAAGCGGATTTCTAACATATAAATAACGGAAAAAATCACCAACCACAAAGAAAAATATGAGGGATAAAACGCTTACTTGAAAGTTAGGAAGGATGTACGGCGGCAGGGAAGAAAATCGACGGCGGAAAGCACGGCGATCCTATGAAATTCTGGAAAAACAGCGGCGGCAAAGGCAGAGGAAGGAGGAGAAGCGCGAAGAGGAAAAAAGGATTATGGGACCCAATGATTCTATTTATAGGGATGACGTGGAATACGAAACGTCACCCCGGGGGAACCATGAGCTTCCCCTCCTCGACGTCTACTCTCCTAGGCAATGATGATTCTACTTTCACTAGGGTGGCGTCACGGTTCCCAAGGGTTGCCTCGTATACTCAACGAGCACAACCCGCAAAGAGTCCCCCGAGCACGCCTCGAAAGGAATTATCTCACGAACGCAACACAGGAGAAACTCCTCGAGCAACCACGGGGAAGCAAATATCCTGACCGAGCATAAGACCCCGTGACGAAGACGAGCTGAGATCAAGTCATAACTCCTGCTCCAGGAGCCACGACTTGGGGGGCTCTTGTTCTGGACTAGGCTCGTCCTGGCCAAAGAGCAAGAACGAAGGCCCAATCCAAGCAGCTCTACAAGGAGCGCGCGCCCGAAGATTCCCGCCAGCGCATCGACCAGAAGCTACAGCCGCTGCCCGCGAACACGACGTCCTCGACCACATGAAATCCAGCTCGAGCCCAGCTCGAGCACCCTCCTCGTAGGACAGACTATGATCGTTACTCCATCACCTGAACTCTGGAAAGACCGCGTCCTCGTCCCTCTGTACTTCTCGCTGAACATCACTAGGAAGGAGACCACGTGCGGGTCCCCACTACACACGTAGAACCTGGCAGTTCCTTTATTGGGCCAGTCCTGATCGGCTCAATGAAGGGACCTTGGCCCCGCGCTGGGGGCTATAAATACCCTCTATTCCTAGAGGGTCAGGTATTCATTCTTTTACCATACACACACTTTTTGCCAGCTCGTACCATCACTCACTTTAGCATCGGAGTGCCTTGCAGGTACCCCCACCTCGTTCAACTTTCGCTCGGAGCCAGTCATGACGGTCCAAGTCTGATCTTAGATCACTAACACTTTGTTCAGTTTTAAAATATAAAAACCAATTTCATGAGTTGGTCAGAATATAAAAGTGTAATTAAATCTTAATTTTAAAATAATAATCAAACATGATTGAAATGGTGTGAAATAAGTTTACCCAACGTTGCACATCTGAAATTAAAAATATATTTAAGATGAAGATCATGATATGTATTCATCATCAATATATTTAATCCAATACATATAGTGTGGCCTCTCTTGATCAAATAGCGAGACTGTTATCGTATTACTTGGGAGAGGACATGTAGGAAGCAATTTGCGACCAAATTGTCTTGTGTCCAATCAATTCTGATGTTAAAAAAAATACAAGAAGACATTGTTTGTAGGTCATATAGTTGGTTTTCTAGAAAAAAACTGTAAGTTGAATAATCTGAATTAGTGCGTTTTGAGGTTAAGTCAGATTGGATGAGAGAAAGGAGGAAAGATACATTGTTGACTAGTACAGATACATAACTTAATACTTTGACTTTGTCTTCCAAATATGTGCATTTTGTTATATATATTAATAAATAGTATTATTTTCTATAAAATTATTAAAAAATTCATTTTTCATTTTTGAAATTAAATATTAAAAATTAAATTAAAACTATTATTAAATATTAATAATTTAATATCCTAATTTCAAAATAAATTAAAATTTAGTTTAAAAGAATAAGATAAAATAACAATAGATGTTGAAATAATTAAATGTAAAGTATGATAATTCACGAATGGCTGCTACTTGGTAAGATTGGAACGTGGGTGACAAGTTGTTCCTGAAAATGTAAATAAACTAATAGTTGATTGAGAAGTGTATATACAAATATAGTGTAAACTAAAGTACGTGGTACTTATTTATTTATTTTGACACATATATTTAGAGTATAGTGATTTTGGGTGATAAGAATTGTAATCATTAGTTTTTGAGTGTTTAGCTAGAAAGACAGACACATTTACATGAATGATAAAAAAAGATTTATAGTAAAAGAAGATACTAGTATGAGTAATGAAGAAAAGAAAAGGAATGAATGGAAAAATTGTTAAAGGACGTATAGTGTGACGTTTGGGGAGGAAGCATTTTGAGACAAAAAAAAAAAACAGACATTATGGTGGGTGGTTTTGTAGAAAAAAACTGTAAGTTGAATAAAGTGAATTGGTAGGTTTTGTGGTAAAGTGGGAAGATAGAGAGGCTTTGTGTTTGAAATAGAAGTAATAAGGAAATATGTGGGAAGGTTGGGAGAAAGGGAAAGGAAATTTGGATGAGTTGAAGTGAATGACGTCATGTTGGCTTGGTGAATACTCAGTCAAAAGTCCAATGTGGAGGGAGGTTTGAATCAACTCTCTTTGTTCCCTCCTGCTAGTGCTACCTATATATGTTTCCATATTTTCTCTATTTAACCTTCATATTCCAATATTCATCATCATTCTAACACTCCCAATATTCATTCTCATATCATCCTCATTATTCAAACATGACTGACTTGTCCCCCACCGCTGATAATCTCGATCAATCCTCCACAGCCGTTGATATCACCGGCAAGATTATGGTAGTTATCATTATACTTCTCTTTTGCTTTGTTGTTACTTTTCTTTTCTTCCATCTTTTCGCCAAGGGTTTCTGGTGGTCTCATCATAGCCAGACTGACAACAATTCCCTATCCAGGCGCAGACGCCGTGCTCAACAGGGTGCTGCTGTTCTTGGAGAAGGAGGACTTGATCCTTTCATACTCAACTCCCTGCCCGTATCCGTATTCAATTCCGAAAAACATGGTTTGGATTTGGAGTGTTCTGTTTGTCTTTCTGAACTAGCTCAAGGACAAAAACTGAGGATTCTGCCTAAATGCAATCACAGCTTTCACATTCATTGTATTGATACGTGGTTCCAATCCCATTCAACCTGCCCACTTTGCAGAACAATACTTGCCGCTCCAGAGCCATCATCATCATCATCGGCTGCTTTTCCCACTAATGTTTTGATTTGGGGAAACCACCACCAGACTATCTCTTCTACTACTTCCGAACAGAACACTTGTTCTTCTTCCTCATCCGATGGAATGTTGAGGATTGATATACCCAATGAAACTGAGGCAACTACTTCATCATCATCACCATCACCATCACCATCATCGCCCTCAGCAACAGGAGGGAGGTTGAGGTCGTTGAAGAGGCTTTTAAGCAACACCAGACTAAATCCTTGGAGTCCAACTGCTGCTGCTGCATCTGCATCTCTCCAACAACAAACAAAACCAAAGGAATCACCAGCAGGACACAGCTGAGCTACCTATACTGTGTCTGCACCTCCAGTTTACCAATTCATTTTTCTTATTATTACTTTTTAAATGCTTGTGTGTATATACATATATACGCCCGCCTTAATTCTGGCAGCGGCAATCAATCAATCCAGATTCTTCTCTTTACTATCTTCATCCACCTGCATTCATCATCTCCAATCTTAGCCTCTCATGCTCAAATTTAGTTACATGTACCTATAAACTTGTAGTATTCAACCAAGTATCATCAATAATAATCCATTAACTAATTTAATATATCGCTGCTATTAGCTTTCCACCCAACTCAACATCATAATACAATATCTAATCATGCTGTGACCACTGTCTTTTTGGCAGTTTCTCTATCTCATACATCTTTTTTCCTCCATTTTAAACATCATTAAAATGCTGCTCAAAATCATTTCATAATTAACATTAAAATAATATGATAAGGTCATTCTTGTTTTAGTCTTTCTTTCCTTTTGGTATCATATGAAATACTATACTAAATAAGAAAAAAGTGTTAGTCAGTTTTTATGATTCCTCTATTTTAGGAGTAATTATTTGTTTTGAATTAGTTTATCATATTATTAGGAGTAGTGGGTTGTAAACGTGAGTATTGCGTTTCAGTTTTCTATCATATGTAAGGCTATATATTAGCCAACGTTGTTATTCAATTTTTGAACACTTCCTTTCAATTTTATTATCTTTTACATAACTGTTGGTTCTTAACATTTGGTATCAGAGCTCCACCAAGGGGCCTGATTAAAATTAGAAGCAGCAGTCTTCTAAGTGTGAAAAGCTATGGCATCGGAGAGTTCTTTTGTGCAGCCAGCAATACCAAAATTTGATGGGCATTATGATCACTGGGCGATGTTCATGGAGAATTTTTTGCGTTCAAAGGAGTACTGGGGTCTAGTGGAGAATGGGATTTCTGCAGCAGCAGAAGGAGAAAATCTCACAGATGCACAAAGAAAGAGTATTGATGATCAGAAATTAAAAGACATGAAGGCAAAGAACTATCTATTTCAAGCATTAGATCGTTCTGTCTTGGAGACTATTCTTAACAAAGATACAGCAAAGGACATATGGGATTCCTTGAAGCAGAAATGTCAAGGCACATCACGAGTGAAACGTGCACAGTTGCAAGCTCTTAGAAAAGAGTTTGAAATTCTTCATATGAAGGAAGGAGAATCTGTGAATGATTATTTTGCTCGGACACTTACCATAGCCAACAAGATGAAGGCTAATGGTGAAAACAAGGGAAATATTGTTGTAGTTGAAAAAATTCTAAGATCCATGACTCCTAAGTTTAATTATGTTGTGTGTTCCATTGAGGAGTCTAAGGATACAGACACCTTAACCATTAATGAACTGCAAAGCAGCCTGATTGTTCATGAACAACGTATGAATTCTCATGTTGAAGAAGAACAGGCTTTGAAGATTACTCATGGAGATCAATATGCTCAATATGCAGAAAGGGGACGAGGCCGTGGAGGCTTTGATCGACGAGGACGAGGACGAGGCAGGCAAAGATTCGACAAATCCACAATGGAGTGCTATAGTTGTCATCGACTTGGGCATTTCAGCTGGGAATGTTCAAACCAAAAAAGGAGGCCAACTATGCAGAGACTCAAGAAGAAATGTTATTGATGGCCTACACAGATATGAACAAGGCCAATGAAGATGTGTGGTTTCTTGATTCTGGATGCAGCAATCACATGTGCGGGAAGAATGAGTACTTCTCAAACCTTGATGAAAGTTACAAGGACTCTGTCAAGTTGGGCAATAATTCCAGCATGGCTGTAATTGGAAAAGGTAACATAAGGTTAAACATGAATGGAAAAACACATATTGTTACTGAAGTCTTCTTTGTGCCAGAATTGAGGAATAACTTGCTAAGTATTGGGCAATTGCAAGAAAATGGGCTTAGTATTTTGTTTCAACATGGAAAGTGCAAAGTTTTCCATCCCGAGAACGGTTTAATCATGGAAACCAGAATATCTTTAAATCGAATGTTCCGGTTGCATGCCATATCTCAACCTGAAAAATTCACTTGCTTTCACACAGCTACAGAAGATATAATGCATCTTTGACACTGCAGATATGGACACTTGAGTTTTAAGGGTTTAGACACGCTTCAGCAAAAGAGTATGGTAAATGGCTTACCAAAATTGAAGGCACCAACAAGACTCTGCAAGGATTGTTTGGTAGGAAAGAAACCAAGAGATTCATTCCCAAAGAAGAGCACTTGGAGGGCTACACAAATTCTGCAACTAATACATGCTGATATCTGTGGACCAATCAAACCTATCTCCAACAGCAAAAAAAGGTATTTGATCACTTTTATTGATGATTTCAGCAGAAAAACATGAATTTATTTCTTGACAGAAAAATCAGAAGCATTTTCTGTTTTCAAGAATTTTAAAATTCATGTTGAGAAGGAAGCTGATTCATTTATCAAAGGCTTCCGCATAGGGATGTCAGTTTGGACCTGTTAATGGGGATCCTCGCGGGGAACGCCCCGTTCGGGGCCCTAAAGATGGGGAATTTTCCCCCGTGGGGGCGGGGATGGGGAGAAAAATTCCCCCGAGAGCATTTCGGGGACGGGGACGGGGAATACACCCCCCGCCCCGCCTATTATTTTAATATAGTTAATTTAATATATATTTTTTAGATTAGGTTTTTTAGTCATTTCCTTTATGTTTATTTATAAAAATAAATAAATAAATATTCATGTATTTATTAAGAGAGAGAAATGTAAATATTAGACCCTAAAAAAGTTGAAGCGTTTCATTTTCTTCTGCCAAACATTTAGAGTCTCACACGTTAGACTCCTTTTTTTCTTCTCCAGTCAAATCTCCATTCATCTTCCTCTTCCAATTCCATCTTCTCTATTTGGTGTGCTTTCATTATTCACAGCTCTTACAATTTCATCAATAAGGTTTGATTTTCATAAATTTGTTCATGTAATTATTTATAGGAAAAAATAGATTATTTCTCTTTGATTCTCATAAATCTGTTTATATTATTGTTTATAGAAAAAAAGTAGATTGTTTCTCCTTGATTCTCATAAACCTGTTCATGTAATTGCTTATAGGAAAAGTTGATTATTTTGATTAAATTTAAATTAAATTGTTTAGAAATTTTAGAGTTATCAAATCATTTGCATATTAAAAAAATATAAAATAATCAAAAAATTACTCATTTTTATCTCCTTTTAAATATTTTTGTGTTCATTTTTTATCTATACTATGCATTTGTAATTAAAATAATGTCGTCAGTTTTTCCTTAAAAAATATTAAAATATACTTTTCCTATTTTTTATTAATATATCACACTATAATTTAATTTTCTATATTAAACAAAAAAATATTACTTTTTAAATGAATCAATATATCATGCTATCACGGTATCACCCATAAAAAAAAACCAAATATCTTATATTTCTAATTATTAATGAAATAATAACATATAAACAATAATATATCATGCTATCACCCATAAAAAAATATATATATCTTATATTTCTAATTATAAAACAAAAGCCATTAAGTGAAATAATAACATATAACTTTTTACACGAGTAAATATATCATGTATATAGGTAAATAAATGTATTCTCAATGTATATAATTAATTAATATATGTTATTATTTCTAATTGAAAAGTTACAGTAAATAAGGCATATTTAGAAATATGTGTAATGCATCATATATTTAGAAATATAAGATTTTTCTTATTAATTATTTTTTGTGTGAATTTCATGTATTTACTATTTCATTTATTTATTATTTTTTCATATATTTATTATTTTTGTTCTACTTCCATGTAGCCTTTTAAAATTTGTGTTTGTGTGTGCCAGGTTTTTGGTAAAAGAATGGTTGGTGAAGTTCAATCATCTAATAGTCCTAATGTTGCTTTGGAAGGGAATGAAGTTCCTATAGAAAGTAGTGGAGTTTCACTCACACAGAAAGTTCAATCTACTCCAAATGAAATAAATATAGAAAATCAAGATCCTGAAGCTCCCGTTGAACCCACTACAAGTCCTAACAAAAGGGGATTAAAATCAGATGTTTGGCCCTATTTTAAAAGGCAAAAAATAGGAGGCATTTGGAAGGCTATATGCAAATCTTGTGATAAGAAAATTGGTGGTGATACAAAAAATGGTACTAAACATTTATTTGATCATATTAGCATATGTCCAAAACGCACAGAGAGAGGTCCAAAACAAGCCATGCTTAAAGTGACAGAAAAAAAATCCGAAAACAGACATGAATCATTTGTGGTTGGAAATTATACATTTAATCAAGATATTTCTAGGAATGAACTCGCGAAGATGATTATATTGCATGAATATCCCATCATGATGGTTAACCATATTGGTTTTAGAAATTATAGCCATTCTCTTCAACCTTTGTTCAAGATAGTTTCTCGCAACACCGTGAAGAATGATATAATGAAGTTGTATGAAAGTGAGAAGTCAAAGCAAATGTTAGTCAGTTTTTATGATTCCTCTATTTTAAGAGTAGTTATTTGTTTTGAATTAGTCTATCATATTATTAGGAGTAGTGGGTTGTAAACGTGAGTATTGCTCTTCAATTTTCTATCATATGTAAGGCTATATATTAGCCAACGTTGTTATTCAATTTTTGAACACTTCCTTTCAATTTTATTATCTTTTACATAACTGTTGGTTCTTAACAAAAAGCAAAGAATTTCAAGAAAGTTAGAGCTTATAGGTAAGCATCACGTGGCCTATCACGTGACAGAGCTCAAGCTTTTGTCTCCTGTTTCAACAAAAACAAGGACTGAACAAGATGCAGCAATCAAGAGTTGAGCACATGAATCTAACTCAAGAGATGGTCCACAGCACTCACTAGTCTGTGTCACTTTTATCATCTATTAAAGCAATACAACTGCATTCTTTGTCATCACGCAAGACATCATCTTCTCTCAAGGTCTTGCGCTCAATCCATACCTTTCCATTTTGTGACGTGCTGTCTTGTTGCAGCAGGTGATCCAAACGGAAAATTACATTTCCACCGCAAGTACAATCCTTCAAAACATGTCTGAAAAGTTAACACTCGCATTGCAGCAATATCCAAACTTCTCTTTCTATTCCTCTCTTATTTCTTTCATTCCGTTTGAATTGCATTCTCTGAACAAACAGGACAGTTGTTATTGTACACTGATCAAAAGCCAAGTGCCGATGGCTGTATGCACTACAACTTACATTGTATTTTACAGCTTTGCAAACCAAGCTTTGTATTCAGTTATGCTACGTACTTGTTCAATCTATACTAATATTAGTATTTAGAATCTGGAAAAGTCGGAATGATCTCCAGATTTGAAGCAAAGTCATACACATTCAGGGGGATTCATTGGAGGAAAATTTTCTATATTTTGCAGTAACTAAGTGCTTACAACAGGTGATAAATGGTACAAAACTACTAGAAAGAAATTAACCATATTTAATGCCATCATTTTCCTTGAAATTCAATAAACAAAATTGTCTTCTACTCTACTCATCTGATGTCTTTAATTTCTTCCCAGAAGCCTCAGATGCTTCACGATTTCTTTGTCGTTTCTTTGCAGTTTTCCTGTCTTCCTCAGTAGCAGCATTATCATATCCACTCTCAACCTTTTCCTTCTTAGACTTTTTCTTTTTCCTACTAGAGTCATCTTCATTTCCACCAATCTCAGCATTTTTCTTGTTTTTCTTTGCTTTTTTTGGGTTTCTGTTCAAGCTATCCGTGCTCAGAAATGAAGAACCAAGAGATTGGTCAATTTCTTTTCTCATTTCCTTCACATTATTTGGATTAGATTTATTATTTGAAGTGTCAGCCAGAAAACCATCATTTTTGGAAGATCTTGTATCACCGGAGCCAAACGTAGCATAAAAATCTTTATAAGTAGATTCTTTTGATACTTGCTTTGACCTCCAATGATCTGGACTCGCAGCAAATCTGTTGCAATAAACCAAAGGAGACTATTACTACATCGGTTTATCATAAGTGAGACTGCAGTTCATAAACTTAAGGCATGAACAGAAAAGGTCTGAGCCCTGTTATATGATCTTGTTTCTATATCTATTTATTTGGAGACCAACGGGTCATAATTATTCAACGGAAAGTAAAAGATAGATATGGAAATTCCACAATACAGAAAATAGCCAACAGCATACCCATCAACATCTAATCTCCTCAATAGGTAAGAGCCCTGCTTTGCCTTGGAAAGCTCACTTTGCACAGCCAATAATTCAGACACTATAGTCTCTCTTAGAGATAGATTACAGGCAGTGAAGCACTTTTCAATGGTAAAAGCACCTGATGGGTGGAGTGCAACCTCTCCAAAATGCTTCTGTAGTCTACAAAACAAGTTACAATAGACACTCAATACTCTTGAAATCTATTACATCTTAATAAATTTCTGGATGTTTTCACCTTGCTGAAGTTTAGAAAAAGGTCGCTAAAAATCATGAGAAAATAATTACACCCAACTTAGGGTCTGACAACTAGAGTCCACAGCTGAAATATTTGGAATTAAACACCCTCACAAATTCGGAAACAATTTTAATAGCTAATCATTTAGTGCTAGTCAAAACTCAAGAAATAATATCCAAACAATCTTAAATCACAAAGGTTAAACTGTAACTACAAATGAAATATACTTAGATTTCAACCAAATAATTGTTCTCATATAACGTGTGTATTTGTGATAGTGTTTCTAAAGTAATAAAACATATGTTGAATGATTTTGGCTTTTAATTTCATTTATTCCTTTGGCATAAATAAAAAATTCAGAGAATGCAAATACAAGAAATATAGTTGAAACTTGAAAGACATACTTCGAAACCAATCTGCGCTTCTGTTTCCCAGGAGCACCTGAACCCAAAAAAGCCTCAACAACATGTGATCCTCTAGCATTTTTCACCACTTCGAGAACTTGAGTCGTGTCCATGGATGTTATACTGGTGATAAAAGGTTTTATATATTCCTGTAAATATAAAATGAAAGACAGCGAAATACAACACATGAATAACACTTTGTAATCGATACATGAAATCAAATGATAAATGGGAAACCTTGTACTTCTGTAGGCATTCTACCTTGCACAGATAGATTTAAAAGCACCGCATGTTTGAGTAATATAACCAGGATTAGCAATATATGCCAGTGTTTACACCGACTCCCATGATAAGCATATTCATTTTACTAGTAGCTTTAGGATAGAAATAGGAAACCTCCTATTAAGCAAGTTTATGTAAGGAAGAAACCGGATAGAAAGGTATTAACAGAATTATATAACTGATTAGTAAATTGTAATTGCCAGTAATTAATTGTTAGGGAAGTTGTTAGGCTGAGGGTGAATGGGTCAATGAGTTAGTTTAGTCACTTATGCATAATAAGAATTTATTTGGGACGACTCAGATTTCTCGTTTCATCTTAGATATCTTGGAAATGAATTCCTTTGTGTACTGAAAGGGTGGGTTTATTCCCTGCAATCAATAAAAGTTCTAAAACTGATCATAGTCCTATTAGTATATGACTAGTACATTTTTTCTATTCAAATATTGATCTAAAAGCCTAAGGAACTCCAAGGCCAAACTTTCTTATGATACCTCATAGATTGTACTTTTCTTTGGATTAAACCTTAAGGGCCTAGGTATTCTTCTTCTCCCTTACAAGTGTGTTTTGCAAGACATTTGTGCCGCACACAACCACGGGAGCAGAGAAAGAAGCCTTAAGCCCGAGAATGCAAATCAGGTTGGAAAATCCAGATTTTAGGGCGAGAAACTCAGATTAGATTGGAATTTATGCAAATTCCTTTCTTATTTACATTTCTCCTTCATATCCTCTGGTTCGATCCTAAAGTGCCGTACCATATGAGATCTTTTCTGCATTTCTGCACCACATCACCCACTGCTCTGGTCACACCACTATACTTCAACACATAGGGGGGCTCCGTGGTGGCCGTCACCCGCACTGCACTACTACACAGTTGTGGCGCTATCTGCCACTTTTGACAACCCATCAATCAGAACTCATAATAATATAAAAAACTCACCAAGCTACCAGATATCTGAATCTGCATTACTATCTTACTTTGAAACATACGTGAATAACAAACCATCTCTAACTTGGAAAACCCCTTGCCCTAACCCCAAACATTAAGCTTCCAAAATTTTTAAAGGCTACACCACAACTTGAAGCTCCTCGTATTTTCATATTGTATAGTAGTAGAAGATATTTTTGTTGGAGCAATATATTCCACATCGGTGTCTCTGGGATAATTTAACCAAAATTGTCAAACCTAAGAGTCTACGTAAACTCTTGAAATCTCTCAAAATTCACTTCTCTTATATATGTTGGGAATTATGGGGTTGACACTCTGATGGCTCATACGTGGAATAGAGTGCTAAAACTTTGAAGTTAATGTTTTGTATACTACCCAGTTTAACATAAATTAGTTTGGTAATTCCAAGTTAACTCTAGAGTTCAACAATTATGAGTCTAACGCCAAATCTACAATCTATCCTGTTAAGAAATGTGGTTAGGCCTTACTCAACCCTACAAAACCGGCTTATAGGGTGAGGATTGCCCCCACTTATAAGCACATGTTCAGGCCATATATTATCCGATGTGGGACTCTTAACATAACCTAATGTGCCAAGCAAAGCAACAACAAAAGATTGCAACCAACTCGAAAATGAAAACAAATGTCTGCTATATTTAATTACCCTTAAACCCTATTCATATTCAATGTAAAATAGTTATTTCCCCCCAGTTCAGTGGACAGGACTTAGTAATCGAAATTTCTAGGTTGTAATTGGGGATGGTAGTCTTACAGCTAGACTTAGAAATGCTTTAAGACCAGCTTGCTTCTTTTTGAAGCATCCATTTCGGAGCTTCGAGAAAGTTCTCTAGGAAAAGGCCTAACAAACTTAAAAATGCTTTAAGACCAGCTTGCTTCTTATTGAAGCATCCACTTTGGAGCTTCGTGAAAGCTCTCTAGGAAAAGGCCTAACCAACCATTGGAGACCTGTTCTACATAAGCACCCTCACCTTGAGAAAAACAAGTTCTACATAACATTTCAGCTTGAGATGAACCACATTCCTACCCTTTCTCAATCAAAAAAGGAAAGAAAAATCCAAGTTCAACAAAATTGCTTACACTATTAAACCGGAATATTGTTTGCAGAATCAGAGACCCCATGACATTCATTTTGGCTCCACAAGGCCAGATCCAGTTGGATTTATCTTCACAAGTGAAATAGCTATCAAGAAATAGTAGTCGTGGAACAATCCATTTTGAATTCTCATCTGCTAAACATACTGTTTTAGCAAGCACTTGACAACACTGCCACAAAAGAACAAAAAGGCAATTAAGCTTTTGACAAAGATGTGGAACAAAATGAAGAAAGTAAAATAACTTCAGTATGCAGCCAAATTAATTCTAAGTGTATAGGAATCCACTAATCCTAGATACAGTAACGTAATTGCAAACCTTCTGTTCATTAATGTGAAGCCTTTCACATGCAGCAATAAGTGAAGCAACTACTCCTGACCTTCCCATTTGGAAAAGATCCTCCAGATTTGGCCCAAGTTCATCCCAGATCAGCTCCATCTACCAAAGGATTGAAAAGTTTAAAACAAAAATGGGGTAACGTTTTGCAAAGAGAAGATATAATACAAATAGATGCCGTTAAAAGAATATGCCATAGACAAATGCAATATAATCCAATCAATCCAACACTGGACAAAACCAATTGGTGGCCAGCATTAAGATTAAAACTTAACCAATTGCCAACATATTCAGACGCAAAAGAAACTACACATAATACCAGATCTTGGTCGCTTGCATGGGAAATCAATGCTTGAACAACAAAGTTTCCATGTTGATGAGATGATAAATCTAACAAGGAATTCTTGAACACTTTTGTGAACAATTCGTTGAACAAGGCCACGGGAGACACTTCTAAAACAACCTGTAAAACATTTAGAAAAATTGATTAGCTAAAAATGTAATTAGAAACAGAACTACATTGATGCCGCCATAAAGAAATGCAGGCATATAATGACTAGGCATTACACAAAGGGTGTATGAAATATGAAGTATCATACAACAATTTACAAGCATGATAAATCTAATGGTTAGACCATTTTCAAGGCAAGAAACATTGTTTTGGACCTAACAAGTCTCGCGAATAGTACATAATTTGACCCAAACTTTCTTTTAGATTACATCTGTTGAAGGGTTAGTTTGAAAATATATAATATTAAAAAAGTAGACGCAAATACAATTAGACAGTTTGAAAGGAACAAGAGATTATCTTTTTGAAAGAAAAAAACTTGAAAACATAAGAATAAGCTAATTATATATAGGTTTTTATTAAACTTGTGTCTGTATTTTTAGCAAAGTACTAGGGGTAAATTATAAAGAGTTTCCCTCCTAAAGGTTGGTCACCTCCATTAGATGGCTAAAGGCAGGTTCTTTAAACAAATGCTTGAGCCCCGGCAGCACTGTAGTCTCTATAAAATTCCCGTCTGTGTTGGTCTTATTCTTGCAGCCAAGAAGGATAGGAATGACATGTAACAAAAGTTCATCATTGCCTACCAACACCCTTAGAGTTGTCTGCCATTCATTGAAGACAATATACATCAAGCATAACATAAGATGAAGCCAAGTGGATAGACATAAATATGGAGAAACACATACCTGAAAAACCAAACAGCTAAATTGGTCAAACTGTAAATCCTTGATCGAGTTTGTAGAAAGTTTAAACATCTCCGAGACAAGTGAATTCAATAAATTAGGAAAAGCAGGGAGAAAGGCATGTTCGTTTGAAGAAAAGTGTTTGAAATTCAAGCGTTCAGCCAGCGCAGTAGTTGATTTAGACAAATAGTATCCAGATTTGTCGAAGGGCACTCCTTTCAAGAGACAGAGAAGAGTCCTCAGCACATGGGAGCCATAACAGTTAGACATAAGATCAAGAGAATTAGCCGCAATGACATCGCATATGACAGTTAAAGCCTCCTGAACGAGGGAATGAAGCTGGGGGTCGTATTGAAGATGAGAAGCAAGGGAGTTAATAGCAGTTTGTGCAACATGAGAACCTGATCTATCCATGGCAATGAAGGGAAAGTGTTTAGCACAGCTGTGAAGGAAAGAAGAGAGGGTGTGAAGATCAGAGGCTTGGAGAATGGTTTCCAAAGTGTGGCTGAGAATATAATCAGTTGCGATTTCGAATTCTTTTCCTTTTGTTTCTTCTAGGGCATTAGCACATATGAGTGACCGTTCTTCGAATTCAACACTGTCGCTTTCAAATAGATTGGCGATTTCAGACAAGTATTTAGTTGTTTCAGGGTCGACCTGTTTTCTGATACGCGAGTGATTGTCGTGATAATCGTGATAATCATCAGTAGAACCCTTCTTAGGTTTCTTACACTTTTTCTTCCCCGTTGAGGAGGACCTTCTTGATGGCAATGCTTTTGAACCTACAGAAACCATCTTTCTCAGACTCACTCCACCAGCCGCACTACTCAACGCACGCTTTTTAACCTATCGCCGCCCTCTTTCACCTTTTCTTTCTAGGGTCTATCTATTACTCGTACTTCTTTTTCTAATCAATAAACCATCTATTTTATTCATAAACTATGCTTCTCTCCAATTTTGTTTCTAAATCATTATAAAAATCATTCTATTTATCTCTAAACTATATCAACACATTAATTACTATCGACACACATCACAATCATTCATAAATATTATTTTTTAAATAATTAAAATTAAAATTAAATTTCAATAAATATTTAACGATCGAGCTACTACTGCATACCAATTAAAATCATTATATCAATTCAATCCTTAAATTTTTAATAGATAAAATAAAATATGCATCAATTCGGATGACATCACATTGCTTACTAACTATCTCAATGTTGTCTTGAAATAAAAACAAATTACCCCTTCTATTTTCGAGTGTGTGATCTAGTTCATCGTTTCACGCATACTAAAACAATTAAATAAATAAAAGAGAGAATAGTGTTTTTAAAATTTAAAAAAAAAAACTTATTATCATATATCGAGAGTAATGAAAGTACTGTTAGAGTACTTGAACTCTAGTAAGAAAGAAGCTTCCACTAAGGACGAATCGTCCGGGTATTACCCGAGTTCGATTCTTGGTGAAAACAGGGTTTGCCCAGTCAATCGTCCCTCTGAACTACAAAATCATATTAGTCGGTTCACTATGTGGATCGAAATTGATTGGCTACTAATTCATATTTAGTAGTATTTGTGTTAGTCTTTATTTTCTTAACTTAACTATTAAGTTTACTTTTGTTAAGACATATGTGTCTATTTTGTGTATATAAACAACTTTGTAATTATGACTTTAGCAATAATTTACTATACAATTTCTTCCTCTACAACTTTGTTGTAGCACAATCCTTTTTTTCTCTCTTCTTCCATATTTATTTTTCATCTTCAATCTTTTGTGCACCAACAATTGGTATCTAGAGCTCTAGTTCAATTCACGTGGAAACACAAGTGTACAAGAGGCGTGTGTAATTGATTTCATTGTTTGAATTTGTGTTAAATTCATTATCGGAATCGTAGCAAAATTGCATTTCTTGATTTTGCAAGGTCGGGAAACACGAGTGTTTGGTGAGATCTGAGTTTGAGTTTCAGTGCACAAAAAAGAAGATGAGCAGCGAAAACAGTTTGAATACTAAGCTTATGGTGTTTGATGGAAATAATTGGAATCACTAGATGATTCAAATGTGTGTGTTGTTCGATGCTCAAGATGTTCTTGGTCTTGTTACTGAAGGTTATGTTCCGATTGCAGCTGATGTGACGTACAAACAAAGAAACATGCAAAGAGATACAGGGAAGAAAGATCAAAAAGCATTCTTCTACATTCATCAGTGTGTGGATGCAAATGTGTTTTAGAAAATCACTAATTCGACTACGGAAAAAGCTGCGTGGGATATACTGACACGGTGTTATGGTGGTGATGCACTAGTGAAGCTTCAATCTCTATGTAAGCATTATGAGAATCTCAACATGAAGAAAAATGAGAAGGTACTTGATTACATTTCTAGAGTGATTTGATCACAGATGAGATGAAATCGTGGGGAGAAACCCTTTATGAACAAGTAATCATTGAGAAGGTATTGAGATCCCTTACTCCTTAGTTTGATTACATTGATGTAGAAATTGAATATTTTAAAAGAATCATGAAAATGGAAGAGCTGCAAAGCATTCTAGAGGCACAAGAGTTGCGTTTGACTGAGAGAACTTTTAAAAGAGAGGTTGAACAGGCTCTGAACGCTTCTTTTGTCAAGAAAGACCAGAAGCATTCTTGGTCAGAATCCAAGAAGAGTCATGGTGGTAGTTCTAAAGAGTCAGAAGCCTTCCACTATGATGATAAAAATTTAAGAAGGGAAAGGAGAAGTTTGACAAGAAAAAGGTTCAATGTTATTGTTGCAAGAAATTTTGACACTTTGCTAAAGATTATTGGTCAAACAAAGGGAAAGAAATCAAAAGAAGAAAATATGGCCATAAGAGATTATGATGATGAACCTATGTTATTAATGGCTTCTGAGTATGATGGTAAGTATTTGGTAGACTGGTGGCATATGGACACTAGCTGCTCAAATCACTTGACAATAAACAAACAATGGTTGGTTGAATTTGACTCCAGGATGAGGACAAAGATCAAATGTGTTGATGATAAGTACCTTAATGCATAAGGTATGGGGAATGTAAAAGTTAGAGTGAAGAGTGAAATACATAAGGTACGGTATCCCCAATAAGGTATGCATGAAAGACAAGCAATCTAGATTGTCGTTTGCGTCAGAATTAGCCCCAAGAGTAAAGCATGCTCGGGAGTAGTACATTTAGATGTATGTGGACTGTGATACGGTGGGAGAACTAACTTGAGGTTTTGCATTTGTGTTCGCAAATGTTTCGGTTTAGCAAGAGTCACCACTGACTTTTTATTTTATCCAAAGGAAAGGTCAAAAAGCACAGGAAAGACCTTTGAGATGTTTTCTTGGGTTCGGGGGGTAGATTATGAAAAGGGAAGGTGCTAGCACCCTTTTCATCCATGATTTTCCATAGGCTCTTAGTTACTTGTTTATATCACTTGCTTTTGCTTTTCAATTGTTTGAAATGGTGCTTTGTGTGTGGTTTTTTGAAAATGCTTTGAAAAAGAGGCCATCGTTGTGGCAACCTTTGTAATGATTCTTGTTTGAATGTATACAAAGATGCTTTTGTCTTTTGAAAAGATGTTTCAATGAACCACACACAAAGCACCATTTCAAAAAATTGAAAAGCAAAAGCAAGTGATCTAAACAAGTAACTAAGAGCCCAGGAAAACCATGGATGAAAAGGGTACTAGCACCTTCCCTTTTCATAATCTACCCCCCGAACCCAAGGAAACATCTCAAAGGTCTTTCCTGTGCTTTTTGACCTTTCCTTTGGATAAAATAAAAAGTCGGTGGCGACTCTTGCTAAACCGAAACATTTGCGAACACAAACGTAAAACCTCAAGTCAGTTCTCCCACCGTATCACAGAACTGGCGACTCTGCTGAGGAAAATAAATCTCTGGCCGATGTTGGAGATTCAAGATCTTTGATTACTGATAATGAGAAGTCCTTGAACCACTATTAAAGATAGAAAATCTTGGGCAACTTGTCGGGATTAACTTTGACAACTTCTGTGAGGATGTGAGAATCCTTCACGACTTTCTGGGGAATAAGGAAAACCCTGACGATCTCTACTGGGGAATCAAAACCTGGGAGACTTCAACTGGAGAAATGAGATTGAGAATCTTCGATCTGCTGGGAAATAACTTTGTGGGGAGAATGCTTATTCTGTTGAAAGAGTTTTCAAAAGCTGGAGTCGCATGCCAACACTTTGAGGAATTATCTGAAGCTGTTTTCTGTTTTCTAAGATAACTTGTAGGAGAATCTTCTGATTTTAAGACAAATCTCTGGGGAATTGGAGGGAACTGGATGGTCTTCCACCGGGGTTTAAAGGTTAAAGTTTTGGACTCCGTTGGGGAAGGAAGCTTTATCTTCACTGAGGGTTTGCAGTTCAAAATTTGTTGGCTCCGTTGGGGATTGGGAGTTTGGAAACTTAAATTTGACGGGGATTTTGAAACTTAACTCCGTTGGGGATACGTATCTCAAGGCTTTAGTTATGTTGAGGATCTGAATGATATACTGCAGGGGATTTCTTCCGGAGTAGCCTAAAGGTGTTTTCCTATACTTTCAACCTATCAGTAATTATTCTTTCTCATTTCGTTTTATTTGTAAGCAGTGATTATATTCAAATGCATATGCTCATTTAATAAATCATTGGACGTTTTCAAATAAAATATAAGTGTAAAAAAGAAATAAAAGGCAACAATTTTTTTGTGCTTTGAAGTATCTTTGTATTAACTTTGTGTAAGTATTTTGTACAAAGGAGACAGACATCCTAGTAAGAGAATGTTGTCATAAAATTGAGAAAACATTTATACAAAGAAAGATGGCTATGTGTAACAATTCCATGGGGTTCCCATTCTGCTATAGCCTTCGCAACTCTGAGTATCTTGTCCATTCGTGGCTTCGTTCGCGGATGACTGGATTGATCAGAAGCTTGGAGCTTGTCCGTTGAAGAGATTGTCCTTAAAGTGATCCGATGAGACATAGTCATACGCTTTAAATCCCTAACTTTTGCCTGGACCGCCCTTTCGGGTTTTCGATCCACCGGGAAACCCTTTTTTGCCCAAGTCGCCCTTTCAGGTTTTCAACTTGCCGGGTGTACAAATTTTTTATTTATCCCTAATTTTTGCCTGAACCACCCTTTCGGGTTTTCGATTCACCGGGATGCCCATTTTTGCCCAAGTCGCCCTTTCGGGTTTTCAACTTGTCGGGTCGTTTATGCGTAGTATCTTTTGACTATGTCTGCGTTCGCAGGGTGCGGCAGGTCATCGTCGTCCATGGTGGTCAGAATCATTGCCCCACCAGAAAAGATGTTTTTGATCACAAATGGTCCTTCGTAAGTAGGAGTCCATTTGCCCCTGGGATCACTTTGCGGTAAGATGATTTGCTTGATTACAAGGTCTCTGACTTGATATACTTGTCTCTTGACTTTCTTGTTGAAGGCCTTGATCATACGTTTCTGATACGCCTGACTATGGCAAACAACATTAAGTCGCTTATCATCAATCAAGTTAAGTTGATCAAGCTGAGTCTGAATCCAATCGTCTTCACTCAAACCAGTATCCTTCATGATTCTCAAGGAGGGAATCTGAACCTCGATAGGTAAAACAGCTTTCATGCCGTATACCAAAGAAAAAGGTGTTGCCCCGGTTGAAGTGCGTGTCGTGGTACGGTACCCGTGCAGAGCAAACGGTAACATCTCGTACCAGTCCTTGTAGGTGACTGTCATCTTTTGAATGATCTTCTTGATATTTTTGTTCGCAGCTTCGACAACACCGTTCATCTTAGGCCGATAG